TAGTGTGGCATCTATATGATGCTGGTTATAACAGCAGGGTGGCAGGACAATGTAACTCCATGTGCAAGCTCGAGAGTTGTGTACAGCTCCAGCTGATTTTCTTTTTCGAGAAGAGTCACGTAAAATATGACAACATGGGTCGTATCATCAGTGGCCAACCAATGGCTAAAAAAAAAAGATGCCGGACATGGAAGAAGACCAGAAGATGGTGTTGGTGGAGCAACCAGGAGGAGCACACTAGAGGACAAATCCGCCATAATGTACAAATATTTTGTGCACAATTAGAAATGATGACATGAGTCTCATGATCATCATGCAGATTCAGTTCTGCAATAAGTTGGGTAGAGTGGTGTAAAAGGTATTATGACTTTTTTTTACCACAAGAGGGCGCTTTTGCCTAAGAAATGCAGAAGTATTTCAACCTTTATACTACGTGACTAAAGAATAAGTAAAAGGACCGTTCCAAAGTTGATGAATAACAAGCTTTTAAAATGAAATTATTTTTCTTTTATGGTATTTGGTTCATATCTAAATTATTACCCGTTAATGTCTATACTGAAAGTCTGTTTGCACACAGAGACCTTTATTTATCTTTTGTCTGAAACTGATATTGTAGTCTATATTCTGCACACGATTTGTAAGTAAATAAAACTGTATTATTCTGTTAATACCTTGCTGGCAGGCAGCTATAACAGGAATTGTAAGGATTTTTTTGTGTTTTTGGTTCCATAGTTGTGTATTATGCATGTGTTATGTTGCCATATGTCATTTCTCCCAACAATTCACTAAACTGTTCTACTGAGAATAATATATATATTTCTCTTTATACATATGGGGGGAAATGTCTACGCTTTTAGTTTGATCTTTAAACAGATCTGTGCTAAATTGTCATTTTCACAGTCTTTATTAGTGGTAGAAGAGTATAAATGATTAAATCCAATGGCATCATGTGGTGACAATATATGCACTCTGATAGGTAAACTGACATGCAATATTTCCCTAATCTGACTGTAAACATTCTCTGATGTCTTTAGGTTCTATGCGACCCATCTTGACACGGGTGCTGACTCCGGCCCATCTTGACACTGTTGCTGACTTGACCCGCAGACTGGATCCATGTTGACACGGGTGCTGACTCGACCCATCTGGCGATGGGTTCTGGCACTACCCTTCTCTGACGCAACTAAAAGAAAATAGGCTGGATCTGTAACTTTAAAATGTATTTCAAGTTTTGCAGCCAAAAAGGCTTTTTTTTCTTTTTCTTTTAGGTATGCTGTGTGATTAGGATCACATTGCAAACATAGAACGGAGGTTCTCAAATATGTGAGGGAATAGCCTTAAAGAAAGATTTGGCATTTCCTTCATATTTGCTTAATACTGACTGTATTAAAACCTGTAGAGCACTTGATAAAATCAGTTAAAGCAATTTAAGCCCATTCATGTTTTTCTCCTTTTTTTTCATGGTATGTTTTTTTAATCTTTTTTCATAGTATAAATGCTATAATATGGTGTGGGAAGTGAAGACACCGGATATACCCAACGCAGTACAGAAAGTTCAGTTAGTTGTGGACAAAAGACCTACAGCAATGAATGAATCCGTGGAGATGCTGAAGTGTGATGAACGTCTCCCATCCTCTCCAGGATATGAGTCGTCTGATGACCACATGGAACTTGGTATGGATTGTGCTACTTATTAGTAAGACCTCATACATATGAATGTTAATGGTAAATGAGTAAGGCCTCATACAAATGATAATAACAATGTCCTTTTGGTAACCGTAGAATGCTATGGCTGCAAGTAGGCTTGTATGCGTATCATTCATAAACATAGAGTGCTTGAATGTAACCATTTTGCTATAATGCCCGTGCTGACTGTATAATTACTAAATGAGACATTTTTCTTCTGATAAACATGGAGGCTGTCACAATCTATTAGCTGCCTGGGTGTCTTGCTGACCCACAAGCTACAATATTTCAAATCAGTAACCCTAAACAAGAATACGGATGAGCACTATACTCTGATTTTTCCGATTTGCTTGCTTGTTCCCAGTAAGTGACTCAAAAAGTACTGACGTCCGTGAATTAGCATAACAGCCATTTGTTTTAAATTTTTAGAAGCTGATCGAAGGCAGCCCCCATATTTCTCTTAGGGTGTGTTTAACACCAGGTGTGTTGAACCGTGTTTATCTGCAGTAAGGAACACAAGCCCAATACAAGGGCACAGAGAATACAGTTGTTCTCTATGAGCCCTGTTTACACCATACATGTGCGTCGGTGTGTTGTGTAAAAATACAGCATATCTGCATGTTTACACAACGCAATACACATTACAACGCAATACACATTACTGCATGTCAATGCACCACAGCCCTGGGATAGCAGCCATTTGTCCCAGCACCATTTTAAAATGGCAGCCAGCCTCAGCGGCTCCTTTTGGGCTCCTATTGGATATCTCTGACAGCTGCCTGGCTCCAGTACTAAGCTCGGGGGTAAATACAATCAGGTCCAGGGTTTCTGGTACATCTACAGATGGCTCTGTAGGAGCAGACTGGAAGTGAATGTAAACGCTATGCACAATAAAACAAGCATCACTGGATGAATCATTTCCACCATTTTGGTGCATTCACATCAGAATCGGAAGGAAATCATAAGTCAACGTTGACTTGCAATTGTAAATTCTGATTTCTTTACAATTTGTTGTGTTGAGATACATTTTTTAACAGATGCTAACGGAAGGGCACTGAAAAATAAGTGGATGTAAATGGGGCAAGTTCACACTGGATCCATTGCATTATGTTGCTCAGAAAAAAAAAGGGGTGCATGTTCTAAGGTAACGGAACGGTGTGAACTTTCATTTTTGGTGCCCTTCTGTTAGCATCCGCTGAAAAATGTATCAACTGATCTGGTGTGAATGGGCCCTGGGTATCTTGCTAAAAACCAAATCATGTTTTTCAATTTGAGTTCCAATCTCTTTTTTTACTTTTTACATGTTATATTCTAAATGTTGCTGCCACTGAATTAGCCTTTCTTGAATTTGTTGTACAGTAATGTTTCAGGCTGGCTTCACACCTGTGTTTTCCATTGAATTTCAAATTCATCTCAAAGCATGTGTTAAGACGTGCCTCAATGCATGCTGCGGTGCACGTAAAAGCAGTAATGATGTGCATCAATGTACGTTATGATGCATGTTGGCATTCAGTACAAAGTAGGGATGCAGCGACTAGTATCAGTGCCTGTACTCGCCCTAATGCTCCCGATACTGGAACCTCCGTTATCAGGAAGCTGGGTGGCGAGTCATTACACACCACCCAGCTTCCTGATAGACTGGGAAGCCGGCTCCATGCTCCCTCATCACCAGGGAGCATGGAGCTTGCTTCCTGGCCAATCAGGAAGCCAGACGGTGAGTCATTACACGTCGGCCCAGCTTCCTGAAACTGCATAGATGTGAGTTCTGCCTCGTGGTTACTGCTAAAGCTAAAATATATTGAAAGTTGGTAATGCTATTTATTCAGAACAAAGCAGTTTGTTTTTTTCCATGCAAAGATTTGTGTAGTATAATTGTTGCAGGGAAAAGATGTTGCTCTTTGGGTAGGTGGGTTACTGTGTTGTGTTTTACTTGGGGTCCTCTCTTTCAGATGATCTCCCCGAATTACAAGCTGTTCAGACCGACTCCACATCATCACGTGAGGTGTTTCACCTTGATGCTAATGTGTCGCATCAGGAATATTCAGTGCCTTCTTGGAACCAGAATACCTCAGATATGTCTGAAAGTGCCTACTCATGTGAGCGTGGGACAAACTGGCTGACAGAGCTGGCAAACATTGCCACAAGTCCACAGAGTCCTTTAATGCAATGTTCATTTTACAATAGGTATGGCTTATGTCTGATCTTCAGCTCTTTAAGACATAGCAGTAGGATAGGAGATCTATTATTTGTTACCTGCCTGCTTATTGAACTGTGAAGTAGCATCATTGCACTGCTGGAGTTCACGTTGTGTTTGCCTCGCCTTTAAAGTAGATGTCAAACCCAAATGAATGACCTCTTGTTTGCTAAAGCACTGTGTATCAGAAACAGTTGACTTTTTTTTTTTTTTTTCTTTTCATTCTTAGCTGCAAGAGATCAGCAGCACTAAGATGCAACAAATATATGTCTTGTGTGTTTTATGCATGTTCTCCAGTGTTGGCTGCATAGCATTTTTCAGGGTGGGGTGCCTCATTTGTGACAACAGTGTACCATGCCTGTGCAATGTGTGTTAAAACAACCATTCGTAGTCTCCATCTGAGGTCTGTGTGACCAGATAACAAGTTGAGTGTTGTCCCCTATAACAGGAGGTGCCTGAATAAGGATCACCAGGTATTATTTTAATAAAAGCTGCAGATTAAACAAAATATTGAAAATTGACATTTGAAATTGCCTTAAAGCCCATTTCCACCTTTGCAGAAGTATTAAAAAAAACAACAACCATATGTCAGCAATGTACATGGAGTGTACATCATAGAAATGTACATCAAGTGTACATGAAGCAGACATATGCAGTTGATGTATATGAAAACAGAAACCTATATTTTGTGTTGGCTTTCCTCTTCATATTCTCATGGAAATGGCTGCCTCCCCTAATCATCTCTGAATTGGTGCTGACACTGTCCTTCCTTCTGGAGAGTGGCTACTTTTGTTCCCCATGGTCCCTGTGTGTGTTGTAAAGTAGCCACTGCTCCAAGCTTACTCCCGTGGTGGACTACAATCTCAATACAAAATATAGTTGCAAGCAGCAATAAAGGTGGCCAAGCAGTAGAGCAGGTTATAGCACATGAGAAGATATTGTAGGTAGAGAGAAAAATAGCAGGACATGATTTCATGTATTATAAAAAAAATTAAATTCAAAATGGCCGCCGACCTTGGTGACCTTTGGAACCCCGCTTGTGGCGGCCATAATGATTCTGGAATCGGGCATATTTTTACAACCGTGGTAGAAGAGGTCGCCGTGGACATATGTGCAAAGTTTTGAGTTATTCTGATAAATGGTTTGAGTTGAAGTTGTTTGCAGAATTTTGCACAATCCTAAATGGCTGCCAAACCATGCGGTCACATGACTTGTAATAAACATATATGACTGCAGAGCTCCGAACATCCTATTATAGCTATTTGTATATCTGTAGCCTTAGCGGTTATGAAAAAACAGATGTTTGAAAATTGTCAGAAATAGGTTTTACATAACGGTCTGGCAATAATTAGCATTTGAAAAAAAAGAGCATCAAAATGATAGAAATATTTGTCGAATTTGACACAATTCAATATGGCCGCCGAACCATGTGACCAATTGACTTGTAATGATCAGTTCTAAATGCAGATCATACCATGACTATACACAGCAATTTGTAGATCTGTAGCATTCTCAGTTTCTGCGAAATGGATGTCTGAATATGGAGCTGAATATAATCACCTAAAGCAAGATGGCTGCCAGGCAATGTGACCTATGACCTTTATGTTGCACAAGTCTAGGCATAGCATAGAGCTGTACCATTGGGCCAGGTTGCATCAGTTTATGAGTAACAGTGCGCTTATTACAGGCTGTTTGAAAAAAAGGCCATAACAATAATAACATCTAAACACGGGCCTGTTTCTACAACCGTGGTAGAAGAGGTCGCCCTGGACATATGTGCAAAGCTTGGAGTTATTCTGATAAATGGTTTCAGACTTTAAGTTGTTGGCAGAATATTGCACAATCCAAAATGGCTGCCAAACCATGTGACCAATAGAGCTATAATGAGCACATGTGGCAACAGAGCAAAGCATATGCTCGCAGAGCAATTTATACATCTTTAGCGGTTCTAGAGATGCAGGTTTCTGAATAGTTCACAAAAATCATCACAAAAACCAAGATGGCTGCCACATCATGTGACCTATGACCTTTATATTATAATAATCTCTGCAGAGCACAGGGCTGTGCCACTGTGCAAAGTTTCATGAGTTTCAAGTGCACTTGTTACAGACATTTGAAAAAAGCGGCGGAATAATAATATTTATTATTAATAATAATCTTCCCAATAACAATAGGTGTCCTTGCAACTTTGTTGCTTGGCCACCTAATTAGTAAACTAAACATGATATTGTTGTCCATCACGGGAGTGAGCTTGGAGTGGTGGTTACTTTACAACACACACAGGGGACCATGGGGAACAAAAGTAGCCGTCCTCCAGAAGGAAGGACAGTGTCGGCACCAATTCAGAGATGATTGGAGGATCTACAGACGAGTGATACACAAATAAGATACATTTCTGTTAATAGCGGAGGTACTTGAATGTATTTTTAAGATTTAACTCCTGAGTTTAGTGTCACTTTAATGACCTAAAGATTATGAGATTTCAGTGACTGGATTTACATCTACTTTAAGCTCTGGCAATACCCGGAAGTGCTTGTAAATATAAAGGCTCTTTTGTTTGTGCACTTGCATTGTCTCGTATACAGTTAAGCTGCCGCATTATATAACTGAATCTTGCATCACAAAGAATAGATTTGTTAGGCTACCAAAGGACACATTTTGATGCAAGTCTCTGTTAACAGTGGTCGTGGTGATATATACTTTTCACACTATACTGATATACCCCTTTTAGGTTGGTGCTAGAACAACTAGTGGATATATGTTGTCCGCACACCTTCTTAGCTTCAAAGTCTCATCTTTATACACGTTCTTGTAGCATAAATGAGTTTCCACATTTTGGAACTGTGCAGGGTCCCTTCAACATTGATGAGGTGGTTCTGAAACATTGCAATTTATCTATGCTACAAGAACATCAATAAAGATGACACTCTGAAGCTAAAAAGGTGTGCAGACAACATATCTTCTACTACTGCTCTTAAAAGTGGGCCTGTTCATGCTATAATTGGTAATTGGATCTTTCCATTGATTTCTTTCCCTTACTTTTCAGGCTGGCACTGAGCATTTTGACAAAACCACAAGTGAATAGCACAGCCAGCACCCATGCCCCTGACCATCAACCTATTAACATTTAATTCTATCCCTCCATCATACCTGAACCTTAATCTAACCTTTAACCTTAGCTGGCCACCTAACCCTGAAAACCCTTAACCGTAACACACATTCCCTAACCCTTAAAAGGTAACTTTATGACACTTTGGGGTATACCTATTAAACATTTGCAGGGCCATTCATTTTGCATAACTCTGTGGGGGGGATTTATCAAAACTGGAGCAGAAAGAATATGGAGCAGATGCCAATGGTAACCAGCTTCTCCTTTCAGTTTGTTCAGTTAAGCTTTGACAATAAGAGAGGAGCTGATTGGTTGCCACGGGCAACTGCTCCAGACTTTGTCTGCTCCAGTGTTGATAAATTCTCCTCTGCGTACACATCCTGTGCGAATGGAGGCAAAACCAAACACTATTTGTAAATGTTCATTCCTAGTTGAATGTAATGTTAGGAAATGACAATGTTCCTAATGCAGAGATGGATTTTCTGTACACAATGCCATCTAGTTGAGGCAGGGGATATATAGGAGAATTCTATTTTGGGTTTCTGTCTTCTTTCTGGTATAAGCCTAAAGCTATGAATTGTAGCTACTATTTTATGACCTGAAGTGATACAGTGGGGTAATGATAACACCTGCATAACTTGTGTCAAATAACTACTTCTTTATTTTAGATCATCACCTGTTCACATAATAGCTACCAGCAAAAGTTTACATTCCTATGCCCGCCCTCCACCAGTTTCCCCCGAAAATGAGTCCGATCTATCCAAATGTGATTGGAAAGAAGAGTCCTCAGTCAGACATGAGCGAGTGAGTTTCTGCTGGTTTAACGTATTCTGATCAAACTGGTTGTCTTGATGTTGTATTGGAGATGTTATGTTGTACCCTTATAAGCTGAGATTCTTCATGTTTCACAATTGTTAAACATCGGTGCATTAATTACTTTGTAAACAGCATCTAACCTTTTCTACCTGTCGCAAAGCTAAAAGCCCAGTTCATGACTGTAATGCAAGCCTCCTACCCGGGTCCCACCACTGTGCTTCCAAAGAGGCACAGATAAAGCTACGACTAACAGAATTCTTCTATTCTAACCAAACCCATAGATCAGGGGTGGCAAACTCAGGCCCTCCAGCTGTGGTGAAACTACAAATCCCATGATGCATCTGCCTCTGCGAGTCGTGGCTGTGAGAATCTTGCAAAGCCTCAAGGGACTTGTAGTTCCACAACAGCTGGAGGGCCGGAGTTTGCCACCCCTGCCATAGATGGTCCCATACAAGGTGTAACATCTAGAAAAGTTGCACTGATATATAAGTTTACAAGCCTGTGATAGGCGGATGGCAGTGTGTCTGTGACCTATTTGTTTCTAGAGATATACCGACTCCATGCAGAGAGGTTGGATCGTGCTTGCACATCCAACTGCCCTCCAGTGTTTGTTGGCACCTGTAAACAAAGTCTTCCAACAAAGACATTGCACTTGGGAAACATGAGTTTTCTCTTACACCAGAAGACATAGCTGGTGGTCTAATTTATGAATTTAGTATGTAGCATATTGCATACCATCATCAAAAACAATGTGAGCATGTTGACTGTGATCAAATGAATCAGTACGTTCATTCAGACGATGAGCCTGATGCATACTATTTTAGCTTGTGACTGATTGCTGATTCTACATGTTTAGTTTAGATTATTAGCACTTTGTATTCTCAAATGTTCTTTCTGTTGTTTGTGTTCATTTCAGGCCAACAGTGAATCAGAGTCTGGCATTTTCTGCATGTCGTCATTCTCCGATGATGATGATCTAGGATGGTGCCATTCTTGGCCACATACCATTTGGAACTGTTTTTTGAAAGGTAATTGGTACACTTTGCTTTTGGTTTCAAGAATGAGAAAGTCTAAAGATCACATGATTGTTGTATGTAAAGTGGTTGTTAATGAGTCACCGTGTGAAAAGTAGTTGCTGGTATTTCTCAAATGCTTTGCATGTATTTGACTCCATGTAGGAACATTTTATAACCTTCTATTACTGGTGTTCAGATGTAAAGGTTAAATCTCAAATCGAAAGCTTCCTTGAAACACTAGATGGAGCTCCAGCATTTTACAAATCATAAAGTATGTGAGCTACTTCCTTGATACCTTGGATGGTCTTCATGTATGTCAGGGCTATATCCTCAGTACACTGCCCTTCCTATTTCAGTGACCGTTCACTAATCTGTGGGTCAGAGTAGCAGTGCCCTATTCGATTTGTGTATTTCAGGGTGCAGGTTTAGGTGCTGTTGCCATATAGATGTGAGGCTGTTGGTATTCCTGTCAAAAGAAATCCTATTCCATGCTCTTGCCTCGGTATGTCTTGGTGAATGTAAATTGTTGGGAAGTGAGCAGTTCATGGAGCTGCTACAAGCCAGACATATTGATCATCAAGATAGGAAATCTGGGACCATTCTGGCTGTCCATTGTAGTGACTTTGTGACGTTGCCTCTGGTGAATTGGGGCCAATAGGCCATAGAACTGGTGATCTACTATACTGAAAAAATGGTACTGCAGCCCCTAGTAACCAATTAAAATAATCAACCCAATTTCTGTACATTTGCCAAGTGTAATTATTTGGAGAGTTTTGACCAATCAAGTAATCACTATCAAGCCGAACTATTGCTTGATTGACACAACATTGCCAGAATGTCTCCATATTCCTCACCCTCTATTTAGAATTTTGTTTTATTCTGCAGCTCTCATTTCTATTTTTCTTCTCTTTAATCTTCTTCAGGCACGCGTTTATGCTTTCATAAAGGACGCAAGAAAGTGTGGCACGATGTGGAAGATTATGCCAAAAACGTACATTGTAGAAACGAACGTGCAACATCAGTCGGCTTTCGGAAGGTAGTGCTCTTAACTACTTCCTACCCGCAGACCTCCCAAAAACATGGCAGATAGTTTAACCACACACCTTTTGTGTAAAGTCTAGTTCATGGAGTCAGGAGCTGGCAAGGTTTTTATAAGGGCTTAGCAATAGACTTTGCAGTTTTATATGTGTTACTTTGTAGGCTTTTACAGTTGTGTTTATATTCTATTACTCAAATGTTTTTACATTACATATACACAGGGCAGTGTGGGCAGCATTGTGGAATGTGGTACTTTTACTTAATTAAAGCTAAACTAAATCTTCAGCATAATGCAAGCTTTTATAAGTAGCATATTCTATTTACTATTGTTCTGGCCCCAGGAGGATCTATAACATTGTGTGGTTTTGCTCTTCATCCTTTATACACCCTGACCCATTCTAGTATTGTACAGGTCCTTGTTCAGTTCTCGTCTAAATGCTGGCTTTGTCTGGCACTAATGTGATAGTACATTAGAATTGGAGCAAACCTGGAGCAGTTTTAATGAGATGTGGTGGACAATAGCATTTGCTTTCTTCCAGTTTCCATAAATTGTCCCTTGTATTTAGAGAAGGGAAATTAGGACTTCACCTCCTAAAATACATTGGTGTTTTTCTGACCTGAGAAAGATTTATCCCGGTGTTTGAACACAAATACAAATTCCTGCTCACCTTTGTTTTTGTTGATGGTAGGTGATGTGCTAGATATAAAATTTATAATAAGCCCTTGTTCATTCCTGGGCGTTTTGACGCGCTAAGTGTGACGAAAACTCTCAACACAAGAAATCCCATTCATTTCAATGGCCCCTGTTCACACCTGAGAGTTTTGCCGCAATGTATTTCAGTCTGTTTGCAAAAACCTCGTGCTCAGATGTAAGAGCGCAAAAATGAGCAGACCGCGCTAAACATGCTAGCGTTTTCAAGCATATTAGTGCACATTTTGTCTAACGCCTAGGTGGTAACGGAGCCTTAGACCAAAGTTTCCCAGCTATGTTTTTTGGTGTATGACAAACTGTTTCCGAATGTCTTTGCTGGAATATTTTTTGTTTAGAGGTGCCAACAAACACTGGAGGGCATTTGGACGTGCAGGCATGTTCCAACCTCACTCAAGTGCTCAAAGGGTTTCTAAACCCTCCGTTTTTTGTTTTTTTTTGCATATATATATATGAGGCTAGCGAGCAGTAGATATATGCAAAACATTGTTATTGTAAAAACGTTAAAGCGTTTTAAACTTACCGCTGTCTTCGCCGCGCGCTCCTGTCCGAAAATCCGAAACTGCGCGGGCGGCCGCAAAGCATCTTGGGGCGGGCGCATGCGTAGTTCTGATTTTCGGCCAGGAGACGAGGAGAGACACAAGGTAAGTCTATGGACGTGTAGGTCAGCAGGTGGGCATGTAGATGACCACTAGCTGACCACTAGCATTAGACACAATAGATCACACAACCCTCAACCTTCTATCTCACCCCACACTTCCTGTTTTCTATGCACTGCTCAGACCCTCTTCCTATGACCATAACACTTATGCAAAGCCTGTCGCTGCACAACTTCTGCCTCCAAAAAATACTTTCCTCTAGATGGATATAACTCAAAGTTCAAACGGTTGTCATGATTTCAGCCTGAGTAGATTGAAGCACAAGATGTGCTAACTTTGCATGTTTGATCCATCATCCATCTACAATAAAGTATGATCAGAGGAAGATGCTGTATGCCAGCAAGTGCTTTTGCATTAGCATTTAGCTTTTGCAGAAAGGGGGGCGATGGAGATTTTGCACACACATCTGAGCATTGTGGAAGCAGATGGACTAGATTTTCAGAGTGGGGTCTGCAGGTTTCTTGGAAATGAGATTCTGTCATCTCATATTTGTGAAGTTCAGTGTATTTTGTTCTGTTTAGCTAGCGGAGAGGCCACATACAAAGGAAATGATATGACCATGTGATATTTTAATTTCTGTTTTCCAGTCTTGCTGGTTTAATTGCACACACATATGTCTACCGTTCTGTTTTAGGGCTATGGGTTAGAAGGTCTTAAACTGATTTCACATGAAGAGAGCGTGTCTTATGGAGAATCTGTCCTTCAGCTTACTTTTGATCCAGGTACAGAAGATGGCCTGCTGACAGTAGAGTGCAGATTAGATCACCCCTTCTATGTCAAAAATAAAGGTACGTTTTGTAATTGTGCGGGTCACATGACTCTCTCCTTTCATCATCTGACCTACTACACCCTGCTAACTCCTGAGGGCCATTTGTGCTAGAGCATTAGAAACTGCTCTGATATATGTGGTTCTCATACTGCCAGATCGACATCTATCATTTAAGTGTTTTGAACCTTGAGATAAGTGAATCACATTGTTTCAGAAGTTGAATAGCTGCCCAAAAGGGCCTTGTGTACACCTTTTATTAGGTACCTTTTGTGTTTGATGGTTTTTTGTTGGTCTTGTCTCTAGGTTGGTCCTCATTTTACCCAAGTCTAACTGTGGTTCAGCATGGCATTCCCTGCTATGAAATTCACATTGGTGATATTTGTCTACCTCCTGGTCATCCGGATGCCATAAATTTTGATGATTCTGGTGTTTTTGATACTTTTAAAAGGTAATGTTGGTTTAATAATGTTGTCATCAACTCGTTCTTGTATTGTTAGGAAGTACCTTATCTACATAGATGACAAAATAGATTTTGGGAAAGGCTATCTGACATATGTACTGTACATATGATTTCAGAGGAGATTGTTGGTATGGAGACAATCTTGAGTTTTGGCCTTATGGTGGGTACAGTAACGAATCTGCTTGGTGCCAGAAGTTTAGAATGTGTTACATACAGACCTAATTATGGCGCTCTGTTAAAATATGTTATAGTTGTGCTTATACAGTTGCCAAATTTAGAGGAAGCTTTTACAAAAATAAATGCTCTAAAGCTGCCATGTCTTCAGTGTTTATATGATGAGCGTGTCCCCTTCATGTGCAAGTTCCCTTGCTGTTTTGATGTCTGCTAGCTATCCTGATCTAAAGAAAGGACATGCACATCTAAAGAGTTCCCAAGGTATCATTTTGTATGTAGGGACCTAGAATCTGCAGACATTGTAACAACAAGATCAGATGGATCTCTATTTGGGCCTCAAAAAGGGAGGAGGTAGAACATTGTATTTGACAATTGCTGATTTGGAATTCTGATGAAGATAAGGCAACTGTACTTCATTCATAAAAACTGTTTGAGATACCCCCCAGCTACAAAATGACAATACAGGATGGTAATTTGAGTCTGTTTACTTTAGAGCAGTACAGACAGTTCTTAATGGTTAGTATATTTCCTGGACATGAGGACAAAAAGGTACCCTCAGCATCACTCTATGTATGTGGTAAACTGTTGAGATCCTTATGTATTTTAGTTAACTGTCAATTTTAGATTATAGCATTCAACAAATAATCTGGTCTCTTGTTTCTGTTTTCTTCTTAGCTATGACTTCACCCCATTGGACTCTTCTGCTGTGTATGTTTTGAGCAGTATGGCACGTCAGCGCCGGGCTTCCTTATCCAATGGTGGCGCTAGCAGTCCAGATCCCGAACGATCTAATGGCAAAGACTGTGCATCTCCACAAACTTCCTACTCTTCATTGTGTAATAAAAATAGCAGGAGTCAGAGCTCAGGGACTTCAAACTCTGTGATGGCCACATCTCCCAACAAGTGCAAAAGACCAATGAATGCCTTCATGCTTTTTGCCAAAAAGTATAGAGTTGAATACACACAGATGTACCCAGGAAAAGATAACCGGTAATGAATCTTTAGAAATGCTTATTAAATGTGAAACCGTAATGGCTGCACTTCTCTTTTCACTATGAAAATACTTGTTCAGGCAGCCTCCTACACATTAGAAGATTTTTCCCATGGTGGAGCTCCCAACAAAAGTAAGCATAGACTTTAAGGCCTTGTTCACACCTAGGCGTTTTACAGCGCGTTCCTACGCCCTGTAAAACGCTCAACATGTGAAAACCAATGATTGCCTATGGGCATGGTTCCCACCTGGGCTCTGCAAAACGCTGTAGCAAATAGTCTTACATGTACTGTGCATAGGTATTTAGTTAAGTTTTAGGACTTTCAATACAATTATCAGAGGCTGTTTTAATATATGTGATTTAAAGAAAAAGCCTTTGGTATAAAGAGCTGGCTCCTTTAAACATACCTACACGTACCTATAGTAACCTTCAAGCTCGGCTACTGTCAATTCTGCAGGCTCCAGTACTGCCTGGTTGTGTGGAAGCTTGCCTGCTCCCTCTTACACAATACTATTAGTACATTGCGGTGCCATTCATTTTTTTTTTTAAGGCATCCCAAACCACTAAGGTAAAGCTTGCCTGCTCCCTCTTACACAATACTATTGGTCCATCACTATGATGGGCTGCCTCACTGGCCAATAGGACTGCACAGGAGATGGAAGGGGCATATAACTAAGCTTCATCACTATGAGTAAGTGCTGGACTTGTGGCCCCCGGAATGGCATGGCAGTTGGACGTGGGAGCAGAGCTTGAAGGTTGCCGGAGGCTTGTGTAGGTGCATCTATGTAACAGGACTTTGGCCATAAAAGATTACTGCTGCATGTACAGTTTGCTTAAAATACATGGAAACTTTGTTTTTTTTTTTTAGCTTTCAAACACTGATAATATATCAAAGATCTAGATGAATGGGAACAACTCTTAGAACTGTGTATGCAACAACATTTTACTCTGGGATTCTTTCAGCTCCATGCAGCCTGAATACATGAAGATATCCCCTCTATGAAATTCAATGATCTCTCATACAGGGCCCATTCACACCATCACATTGTGATAACACGCAGCAACAAATGTTACATGTCTTGATATGCTGCAGTCCCCTTCATTGTGAATGGCAACTTAGTGTACTTCCAAAAAGCATGTGATCAGCAGTAGAATGCAGCCTGCTGTGTTTTTCTGTGTATTTCAGCCTATTCATTTTGAATGGGCTTGTTAACTTACAGCGTGACAACGCATCGCATATATTGCAGAACACCGCATTGTGCTGTGAATGTGCCCTTGACTAATAGAGATAAACAGACACTTTTGTATACCTGACCTTTTACATGTTTTATGGAATACATTAGGGATGCACCAATCCTTGTACTCTGCCACATGCTCTGATACTTACCTCTGATACTGGAACTTCCGGTCAGAGGTCAGTAGCAGTGCCGAGGGAGCATGGAAGCCGATCAGGTAACCGGCCGTTGGGGTCATCTCCCAGCTTCCTGATTGGTTAGGAAGCCAGCTTCCCAGCCAATCGGGAAGCCAGGTGGCACGTCATGACCCGCCTCCCGGCTTCTTGCTTGGTCCAAAAGCCAGGCTGCGTAGGAACAAGTGAAGCCGAATTCCTAGCCAATCAGGAAGCTGGGAGGCTGGTCATGACTTGGCACCCGGCTTCCTGCTGGGTCAGAAAGCCATGCTGCCTAGCAACAAGTGAACCCGGCTTCCTAGCCAACCGTGAACCCGAGAGTCTGGTCATGACGTGCCGCCCAGCTTCCTGATTGGCTAGGAAGCCGGCTTCACTTGTTGCTAGGCAGCTGGGCTCCCTGACTAATCAGGAAGCTGGACAGCACCTCCATGACTCACCGCCCAGCTTCCTGATTGGTCAGGAAGCCAGGCAGCCTCTGAATCCGGTGTTCTTTCGTTAGAACATCGGCTTCACAGGCAATCAGGAACCCGGGTGACGGGTCATGATCCGCAGCCCAACCTCATAATCGGGGGCCACAAGGCCCTGGTACTCTGTATTGGTGAGTACTGAAAAAACAGTATCAGTGCATCCCTAGAATGCATTTGAGAATCATTAAGTGTTGTGCATTTAGCATTGTGTTAAAGTTGAAAACCTTCCATATCTTTCAAATTGAAGTCCCATCTAAACATAAAGGATGTGGCTGTTAAATTGCTACATTTTACCTTCAAAATAAGCCAAAAGCTGGTTGGTTGGATTGTGACTTGCTGCCGCCAAGCCAGTTTCAGTCGGATTTACAATCCAGCAACTTGGCTGCCCGTGTAAATGAGCTCGGCTTGGGCCTGACTCCTTTACTGCTACTGTGTACACTAGCTCTGTGTACTGTGACTGGCCCTCTAATAATTGGCATTTTATTTTTTGACCTGAGCTTCTGCACTGTGTCATGTGACCTAAACATGACCTTAGGTACACCTTTATTTTACACTATTTTTTCTTTGGCTGCTGTGTGCGGAGTGCTTTGCTTAAGTGCCCTTCCGCACCTTGGCGTCCTGAAGCATTGCGTTAATGCAACCTATTGAAATAAATGGGATGCTAATGCACAAACATGTAAAAAAAACAAACCACATCATTTTTTTGCAGTGTACCACAACACACAATAGTGTGCTATGGTGAGCTGAAACGCATGTGGTTTGGGGTGCCATTTTACATGAATGGCACTGCAATGTGCTAAGGCTTGTACCATGTATTAAAGCTCAACTCCGGGCAGATATAAAAGACATCAATGAATGCAGCTCTGTATTCATTAATACTTCATTCCATTTATTTTTTAAATCAAATGCAAGCAGTTTAGGTACCTGAGTGTGACCACAATGTACAGCACACACAGTAAAAGCTTTAGTACATTGCGGTGCCATTCATTTTTTTTTTTAAGGCATCCCAAACCACTAAGGTAATGCGCCTGCATTGAGGGGCACTGCAGTGAACAACCGTCCATCACCTTGCTTTGCGGTGTGCCGCGTCAGAAAAGCCGGTGCTTTTTTTGGTCTGATTGGGTGCTTTAAATACAGTGTGCATGGCACAGCAATGCATACAAAACACATACATACAGTACATTGCTGTACAATATTTTATAGATCTTTTTTTTAAACTAAAGTCCCTTTCATGTCAGTGTGCTCAGCGTTTGATGCTTTAGGAAAGTCCTCTTCCTGCTGCACCTTTCATCTATACAACTCAATGGTGACGCATGTAAAACATGCATACAATGCACTAAACTAGAACATGCAAATGTGAAAACTGTTCGCTGCTATTTCTATGCGGTGATTGAGGAGAGCAGGGGTAGAAGATGTTCCAGGTGGGGAGTGTTGGTGACACTGTATTACAGGGGTAGGCTACCTTGGCACTCCAGCTGTTGTGGAACTACAAATCCCATGAGGCATTGCAAAACTGACAGCCACAGGCATGTTGAGATTTATCATTTTAAAGTTGGAGTGCCGAGGTTGCCTACTCCTGCTGTACCAGAACAGAAAGTGAGGAGAGTTCTCCCCAATGCAGAAAAATATAACAATATAAGTTTAATGGAGATTATTACCCTTCCTCACTTTACTGCTGATTGCTGCTAGTGCTTTTCCCCTCACTTCCTGTCCCATTCATAGGGGAGGAAGAAGAGAGGGAAAACCTTTCAGACAACCATTTGAGACTCTATTCAGAGCTTTCCCCATGTAAAAATATAAATGTCTATTGCAATGATGTCCACAATTTTTTGTGTTAAAATCTACTTTTTAAATGATGAGCTCAATGAGATCTACCAAGGAAAACCCCCCCACAAAACTGGGCTTCAATGGTTCTGATATTTCCAGTCATCGCGCACTCTCCTCGCGCGCTCTGGCAGTAATGAGATTAGCCAGCTTGTTCAATAAACACACAAGGGCCGGTGACTGATACTTGCCAGGAAATTAGAAAAGCAGAATACTCAGGGCTTGTTCACACCACTTCAAGTGTGTTCTAGCACGGTTAGCTGCTGGAACGCACTGGATCGCATACTGTAAGGCTGCCTGCGTTCTAGGGCGGGAGGGAGAGTGGTGGCGCATTTAAGTCAATGGCACCACAGCCATGCCCCCCCCTGCACGCAGTGCAATCACCTGCACCAGAACGCCTGGCACAGCAATGCCCATGTCCTGGTCCGGTGTGATTGCAAAAAATAGTAGCAGCAGCACTTTCACACCCCCTCCTGCCCCAGAACGCATGGAGCCTTACAGTATCTGATCCAGTGCATTCCAACAGCTAACCATGCTGGAATGCACTAGAATGGTGTGAACAAACCCTCAGACTGGAAAGGATCCCGTGCAGTAAATAAGAAGATATCATGACTGCTGATGGGGTGCTGGGAAATACAAGATGCTGACAGCCCACAGTGTCCTCCTATAACACACATTAACTCCCTACTAGTAATAAACAATGATCATTTTTATAAACAGCCCACTGCCTCTGTTATGTAGGGTAGGTATAGCTGCATGGAGGCAGGGCTGTTTACAGAACACAGTACCTTGGTGGTCCCGATGTGCTCCATGTATGCTGTGCTGGGTGAGGTGTACCATGGACTGGGTGCAGCCTGCTCAGCCTCTCCTCTGCTTCCTGCTGCACTTTTAGGTGCTATCACCTAAGAGGATTACAGCACTGTGCCTGTGCTGAGATTGTGTGGAGCGGTTGGGATGGAGAGAAGGGCTTAGCCAAATTCCCTTTGACAACAAGTTGATATTTGCATATCAGTAACAGCTTTTATTAGTCTATTTAGGTTGAGTATTTTGGGGAAATTGAATAATGTTTTAAAATGTACGACAGGGCAAAATAAGGAAAAGTGTGTGTGTGTGTGTGTGTGTGTGTGTGTGCGCTCACCAGTACAGACCCTGCAAGTACAGCAACATATCTGTTGATCTGCCAGAAATGTACCCTGCCCCTTTTTGTCTTTTGTTAAACTACTGAAACCTGCTGACTCTCACTCATAACAATATGTATATAGCCATTTGTCTACTGAAACTTAATCTACATTAACAAACAGTTGTGCCCATGCGGCAAAATCAAATGCCATCAAGGCTATTTCCTCTACAGATCGAATGTTCTTCAAATCTTCGGGGCAGTGGAGAATCAGGAAAATCCCTCATTATTGCCACTCAATACACCTTAGTAACCAAGTAACCTTAATAAGAGATACAATGTAACAATTGTAGAGAACACTGGAGGGAATCGGCAGATAAATGTAATCATCACTACTACAGGCATCTCCTAATTATCCTGTATTCCAAGATAAGATGTGGGGGGGAGGGGGGATAATTGGGCTGCTTCAGATCACAGGAAGTGTGCACAGGACAGCTTTACATTTCTCACACGTTTAACAGGCAACTTGATATATCTGTTGGATAAGTACACAAAAAACCCAAACACGTTCAATGGCACATTATTGCATAAACGTTCAATGGTGTCTTTAACAAACCAAAATGAAGCAAATATGAGAAGTTCCTTCTTGGGGTTTACATACCCTTAAATAGATGATGGATTAGGTTGGTACTATTGTGTTTATATGACTGAGGAATGGAAAGGTTCACTAGAACAATACAGTGTGTAAATATATAGAGGGGGGGTGATTAAGGCTGCGTTCACACCTGACCGTTTTGTAGCGCGTCCTACGCTCGACGAACGCGCTACAAAACGGTCAAAAAAATAAATAGCATTGTAGTCAATGCCCTCGTTCCCACCTTGCCGTATTTCCGCCCGTCCCTAACGCCCTACAAAACGGCCCACGCCTGAAAAGGTCCAGGTACTACTTTGGGCCGTTTTGTAGGGCGTTTTCCATTGGGATACAGCCAAGCAGCCTTTGGAATTGCGCGACTTTTTTTACCGCGAATCGCGGTAAAAAAAACGCGCGACAGACGCGCTTTTGCAAAACGCCTAGGTGTGAACCCAGTGCAAGTTATGTGATCAGCTCATCTTCCACTAAAAGTCTTCCATGGATATTTGTCCCAGCAATAAGTCACTTCTGGAATTGGTTTTATAATCTAGTTATAGCAGGCATGGTGTCGGATGAAATGTATAAAAGTATGAAATGAAGCCGGAAAATAACTGTGGATTCTTATACAATATTCACAGGGGTATGGGCACAATGGATAATTGACGAGTGGAAACCTTCTGCCGGTTTTTACCTATTCATGCATCATCTGTAGACACAAATACACAACTAATAATGTATTCTGAGATCTCTAGAGCGCTCTGGAATGATTTGTGAGTGAGAGCTTCTGCAGACAACTCCTTGGGTGGTACACAAGCTCAGAACGGTGTAATATGTATGAGCTGACCTTGGATCAATATCTTTCCTGGGGGAGTTCACATGATAATGACAGCAGTCAATGGCTTGAGGTGAAATAGAAGATGTCAGACAGCAGATACAAGTTCATTTTGGGTCAAAATCTATTAACAGGGCATCTGCACCGTATGAGGCCTATTTCTAATGATGGCAAAATAATTGCCTTCATTTTGCCACCCCAATTCCCTACACTATCATGGCTTTTCTCAGTGCAAGGTACAGGCTGCCACAAAACTGATGAAATGCAGCAAGAAAAACCTGCTGCCTCCAGGAAAGCTTCTCCAGCTTTCCTTTGTTACAAATAATAGATCAGGAGGGTTTGCTCTATATAATGTACTTGTGCCTTTGTATGGCTGGAAATACATTGCACAGCTGTCATAGCTGTCCCTTGATCCTTGTCCATCCCTCAGCATGGCCTATGGCAGTTTAGGAAACACATACTAGGATCAGTTTAGTCAAAAGTCAACCTACCAGTAAATATGTTAGGTTGTGGGAGGAAACACAAACAGGGGAAGAACATAAAAACTTCATGACAATTGTGCCCCAAACAGGGGCCATAGCCAGGACCCCGCCACAGCAGAGCAAGCCACTGTCTGTTCAGCGAGAGGTTAATCTATAGCATTTTGTAAAAATGTATAACCTTAATTATTAAAAAAACATATTTTTAATCAGGTAATATTCCTATGCAATTATATATTGCATAGGAATATTTCAGCTATACCATTTGCAAGCAGAAACATATGCTAAAAATAGACTAGCATTCATTCTGAAATGAGAAAGCTGGTCGGATGACCAGTGAAACGTCTTCAAGAAAAATACAGCAAGTCCAGTTGCCTTGACTTATTTTTTACAGATATAACATGACCTGGATGAATGAGAACCTTCACAGACTCTATTCAATGTACTTTCTATAATCCTTTGCAGCCACATGAATTGGCTCTTAACTTTTTAACTGCGTATGTGCTTCTTGCCTTGATAGACTTCAGTCAACTGCAGTAGATTGCGCCATGTGCTCATGTACAGACGGCCTATAGAAGCTTATGCAGCACAGTAGTCTATGCACAGTACTGCACCAGCAGACCAGGAATAGGAGATTTAAATAAAGCGTCTCTTCTGAGTTCTGTACTTTTCCTATGATAAATGTTCTAAATTGCAGTTTATATATTTATTGGCCCTCAGTCTTCAGTTATAATTCTGCCCATACAGACAAACGTTTTCTGGCATCTTCCCCAACTTTTCAGTTACAAAAAGGATTGAACATTGCCATACAGATCTAACTATATATACATATAAAGTGTTCCCAGTAGGTTGCCTTGATCAGTTCAGTGATTTGTGAGGTGGAAGGATGGTTACAATTGCTGTGCAGGATTGGGCTTCATCATCTAGACTTCTCACTCTTCCCAAAAAGCTCCAGTCCTAGGAGACGGCGTGCTTGTAAACTGAACTTTAACCGCACATCAGTGTGTAGAAAGGTGCTGTGTTTGTATGTACAACAAAGGTCTGGTCTAAGTCATTTCTGACATGCTTTCTCTTCCAGAGCCATAAGTGTGATACTTGGAGACAGGTGGAAAAAGATGAAGAATGAGGAAAGGAGAATATACACAGTAGAAGCTAAAGCTCTGGCTGAAGAACAAAAACGTTTAAATCCCGACTGTTGGAAGAGAAAAAGAACAAATTCAGTGAGTAATAAGCCATTTTGCTAATGCCAGTTATTTGAATCATGGCGCAGCATTGTAGAAAAGCGCCATCCAGCATTGCAGGAATTTATCTGAAAATTATTTTTCATAGTTTTTTGCAGTTTTTTTTTTTTGCGCTTTTCTGTATTTTTTTGTTGTTGTACAGAAATAATGCAAACTGATACCACAACTAGTACAATTGCCAAACATTTAATCCGTCTGCTAATGAAAATGTAAAGCCTTTAAATAGAAAGTGAGAGCAGAGAGGGATAATGTACAGCGGTGTCCTACTCCCTTGGCGGCTTCTCCATTATAAATACACTTCTCGTTCTTCCCAGTATTACACTAAATATGAATGTATGCAAGCCAGCCTTTATCCAGTTTTAGAAATGTGTGCATCCTGTGAAGTGGCTTGTAACGGGTATCAAAAGCTGGTGCAGAACCATGTGCATGCAGGAGAACACAACAACATTGGCGATTTGCTTTCATACAATGAATGGAAGTATCTGAAACAATTACAGAGGGCTAGTGTTATTTAAATGCACTTTCAATCAGAGAGCTTTTTCCTTTGTGCTCCCCTTCTACCGATCTAATGTATCTTATTCTTTGCAGATTCATATTCCAAGCAGAAGTGAAGTGTGTATGTGTGTCATATATATTTATATATATATATATATATATATATATAT